CCTTGAATTGGCCAGAGTTCATAGTCATAGTGTTCATAGTGTCGTAAATCAAGTGAAACTTCACATGCGTGACAGGCGTTCAAAATGCAAATGACGTCATCAAATGGCCGTTAATAGTTAAGAGATAGGGCCTTAGCTAAGGCCCACTTTTCAAATGAAGGGAACGAATTTCTTTAACACCACGAAACTGAGGATTTGCGACCAGGTGGTTATATATATAGTGGTTTCTGAACCTGGCCGCCAACTTGGCTATCTCAACTCAGAACTAATGCAAAGGTGGGGCAGTCCCTTTAAACGTACCAACCATCACTGTTTACTGCATGAACAGACGTGTTGGAATTGGCAATGTTCCACTGTAACGCCCACCCGATGATCGTGGTTAGTGGAATAAACGATATAATAATAATAATAATAATACGTACGCATACCTATACCATAGATAACAGTAGTACCTAAGTAGTAGTACCTAACCTGACCTAAGGTCAACTTTTGACCTTTCGACCTTTCGAGGTCAACATACATATCTTTCGATGCGGATCGACGAGAGGATCACGATGGTGCTATTAGTTTGTTCCTAGCTGGGATACCTTGAAAGTTATTCGAGAAAAACTTCATATATATGAGTGCCGCAATTTCGACTTCCTTTTTGCTCCTGTGACGTCATCTTTGACCTGACCTGAAAATGACCTCAGTAAAAATTATAGAACTTATCCGTGTGTACCATGCACCGTTTACCGCTTGTCGCTATCTTGCTTTATTCTCGAGATCTCGCTGTCGCTCCCGCTCGTAATAATGGACAGGTCATAAAAATGACCTGACCTGAGGTCAACGCAGGGCGATATCCACTTTTTTTATTTTCGCATATGAATGACAATTAATAAGGCTTTAATCGTCATCAGACAAAATTGCAACTTTCAGTGGGGAAAATATCAAGGTCACTCTTCGAAAAATAGGTCAAAAGGTCACGTGATCAAAATGTTCAAAAATTGAAAATCCGAGATAGCCAAAATGTTTGTTGGCTGATTGTGAGTTGAACCATATAAAGTTTTTATCGTAGAAAACCAATAGTTTTTTAGTTATAGGCCGCCAAACATAGGGCTGCAGCGCGACCTCCAGGAATTGCCCGAGGCTATATCTCGGAAACCGTTGTTCGAAGAAAAAATCCTTGTCACAGCTGGCTTCCCCGCCCATCACAACCCATTAGACCAATTTTAAGCAAAAAATAAAATATGAGGGTGCAGGGCACTTGTCGATTTGTCGTGGAACGCCCCAGAAAGTACATATTAAATACGGGTGGCAGAAAAAAGAAGATGGAATTGGTGCACGTTGCTTCCGCATTGCATAACAAGGCTGTTTTCATATCTTCAATACCGCATGTTTCACTCCCTGGAACTGCAAATTCAAGGTAGTTCGGTTTGACTAACCGAACTAGGTCAATAATATTTTCCTCTTCAAAAAAAGGAGCCGGAGTCGCGTCCTTTTTTGACGGCTCCGGCTCCGGCTCCGACTCCGCTCCGGGCTATATTGCTTCACGGCTTCGGCTCCGGCTCCGGGCAAAATATGCCGGCTGACGGCTCCGGCGGCTCCGCAACCCGGCCCTGCCTCAAACCAAAGGTCTGGATCCACCCTAGTGCCCTTACCTAGCTAATCGCTAACTAGAATCAGCGCACACAGATGTCGCGGTTTATATGTATATGCTGTATGCATAGATGTCGCAGCTATAGCGACAAATGCAGTGCAAATGGTAGCAGACAGCAGTAGTTTCCCCTACCAAACTGGTGGTTTTCTACCAGAGATGCTCGTCGAGGTCGGAATTTCCAAATACGCCACAGCAAGACATACAGGTTGTCCTGTCCCAGAATTACCCGAACATTTATTTCCTGGCTAAAAGTACGATTGCGCTCGATTCCAATGACATACAAGCATCATATTTTTATAAGCTATCCCTTAGCTATCGAGCTTGGTGAATGTGTGCTTTTGGTGACCGGTAACGACTCGGGTCAATTATTATCCAGAGTCAAGTAAGAGTAGTCCTTTTCCGTTTTCAGCTAAAGCCACTAATAACATCTGTCTCCTAAAATAGTGGAAAATTTTCATCAACTGATTTTTTGGTAGCTTTAAAATGTAAGATCCTTAAGGGAAGACTGCCACCTTCAAAAAGTTTTCTCAGATCGGCCTATGATTTATTCCCTGGACAAAACAAAATTTTAGAATTCACCTGACAAAGTATCATCACGTGAATCGCGAAAAAAATTGTCGATTATCATACAATTATCAATCGGTTAATGTCTAGCGACAATGTTTACACATCACTAGACTTCAAGGTCATAAGATTATTACATTTTATTTGAAAAAGTAAGGTATTTTATGATTTACTAATATATGATTTCATAAGAAATTGGCCATGTTTAATTTATTTTGCATTTAAGTTCGTATAAAACATTTAAAAATCATGGCTCATTTGGAATGGGTCTGGCCCATGTTAAACCCCATTCCCCACACTTTTTTGGAAAAAATGAACTACTGAATATATAAGTTTAACTTTTATTTTGACACTCCAAAATTCTTCTCTGATCTCGAAACAATCAAAGTTTTGACATATATTTACCAAAAGATAAGAAAATTCATGTTTCAAAGTTATCGATAAACAGTAGAGATGTCGGTTTTCTTGGACTAAAAAAATGGCATCAAACTGAACTTTGGTCTCCGATTTCTCGCAAACGGGTTCGAATTTCGGAAAACCGACTTCAGTCTGGGACATAGGTGGCTCAGCTCTAGTGAAAACCGTTTTGTGGAAAAAAGGTGGCAGTCTACCTTTAATGTACTTGGCATCATTCGAAAGCGCGTGAAATTCTGATTCAGATGAACCTAAAATATTTTGTCAATTGTATCGGCCTTGATCGGCCCCCGGTCAACAGACATGGTAGCCCAAATCTAGTCGGATATGAAAATTCTTCTAAATCCATAGACTTTAATGCTAAATTGACTATATTTGAGAGGGTTTTATGAAGATACATGACCAGACACAGAAAAAAGCGAGATACTATCTTGTAGATTAAATCGTCTACTATCTGCGACTTATGAAGTGTTTTTCAATCTGAGGTACCTACGGAAATCGTGTTCCTAAGAGACTGATAGTAGCCAATGCCATGCTTTACATTAGACCCAATGGCAAAAATTCGGAATCTGACGAAATTGGCCATTTTTACGTCTAATTTTTGAAAATTCTAGACAGGATATATAAAAACCCGAGATGCTACCAGGTGGGAAATTTCATTGTCTATTACCGCTTTTTGAAGTGTTTTTCGATCTGAGACCGGCAAATCGTGTTCCCAAGAGACTGAAAGAAACTTCCCCTGTTCTACAGCAAGACAATGGCAGAATTCTAATATTTGATGGAAGATATCGTAGGTGATAATAACCTTACTACTAATTACAATGCTTCATTGGAAAGCTCAACACTGGCACTATCATCGGTCTTTGCCTTGCTATTTCACAGAACAACAAGAAATAACGTTTTGAAGCCATTGATTATTGACTTACTTTTCATCGACGGGCTCGATCCCCATCACCACCAACAATTTTCCGGGAAGTCAGGGTTTTGCAGAATTGCAGGGCTGTGTTAATACTACGGCACTTAAATGCACAAGCTCTGCAGACTTGCAGAACCACCTAGCAACGTAAGGCAAAATAGTAAACAACTCCTGTTGATATCAGGTACTCATCCTTGGAACCACACTAGACGGTCACCACTCACCATACTGGGCTTCATACTGAATTTTGCATACCAGAATGAATGTTTCCAACTAAAATTATTTTTTCGCGAAATTTATCTTTGTTGCCCTACTATTTTTCGTAAAACCGAGATATACAAACTTCATGATATCAAAAATAATATTGTGATAATGAAAACCGCCATATAAAACAAGATAATTGCTTAGATCATGCCTACTAAACTTGGTCCTACCCCCTAATTCAATATACCCTGAGTCTGTCCGTCATGACACGCCGGGGATATGTGTCACGTCTCGGGGCAGAGTCGCGCTCAATGCCGGCTCTGCATTCGGGTCTTGAACGACACCGGTAGGCACGGCCGGGCTGTCGGTGCCGCTGCTGGATTGAGCGACGCAATTGACTTATACTCGTATGTGTACTCCGCTATTGTCTCTACTCACTTCTCATTTCGTCACACTGTCAGGGCGGCTACCCTGTCATTCCCAGACATGTCATCTTTTCTTTCGAACTGCTAATCTAAGTAAAACAAACGTCAATCCTGTTGCTTCAGCATTTCACTTTAAAGGGACCCTCCCACCTTCAAAAAAGTTAATGAATTGGCACGGAAGTGATGTCCCTTGGTTCAGAAAGAGCGAAAACGAATATCTACCAAATTTCATCGAAAAATATTCACTGGTTTTCAAGATATTAGGCTTTTACTTTTGTTTACTTTTTGGGATCTCCGCTGTTCCTAGCGACTTTATTTGAAAGTGCGGCATTTGTTGCGCGCAAAGCAGCATATACCACCGCGTGCTACCAAACGTTTTAGTAAAAGATTTAAAAATCGTTAGATCTCCGCTGACGTCACAAATTCTAAGGGGGCATACCAATGCACTAGCCCCTTAGAATCCGAAAACTGCAAGTTTGAAATTCCGTATCTCCGAATTAAAGCATTTGTCGATGTTGTGAGTGCCCAAACCGGTATTTGCAGGCCATGGCCACCAATTTGGCTATCTCAACTCAAAACTAATGTTAAGGTGGGAGTGTCCCTTTAACGAATGTGCATGACATTGGTGACGCCGATGCTGGTCAGAGCCATGCCCCAAAACTTGGGCCAATGACTGTTCGAGGTCTCCACATTCTGTCCTTGCAGCCTGCTGCAGCTCCTCCTATCCTTCACAAATTTTCGCATAGCCTCTTGGCTCTTTTTGGGTACTATAGTACACACTGACATCCCAGAGAGGCTAGGTCCCTCCCAGGCTCGGGTGAAGACTCCCCGAGAGTACATGGAAGTGTTCATCCCTCCTCAAATGTATCGAACCATCGCGCTGCGAACTAATCAGCATGCGGTCGCTCAAACGGGCAAAAGCCTCCTCTTGAAGAACGACGAGTGCGAGCAGTTCTTCGGGGCTAGCTTGCTGATGTCTGTGCTCAAGTTCCCCTGGATACGCATGTACTGGTCACAACCAACGCGGATCGCAGCAGTGGCAGACGCTTTCACTCGGGATCGTTTCCACTTCATTCGGGGACACTTGAAAGTAGTGAATGATGTCGACGTCACCGATGAGCAGAAGAAGGGCCGCTTGTGGAAGGTGCGTCCCCTCGTCGAAAGCGTTCGAAGTGGCTGTCTGCAGCAGGAAAGGCCTCCTCAGGTGTCCATCGACGAGCAGATGATTCCTTTCACGGGGAAAACGACACTGAAGCAGTATGTGCCTGGAAAGCCTCACCCAGAAGGTCTTAAGAACTTCGTGCTGGCATCACCGCGAGGACTCGTTCTCGACTTCGAGGTCTACCAAGGGAAGAAGCTTGACGACGGAGGCGCTGAAGGCAAGCCATGGACGGTGGGCGAGTCTGTGGTGATGAGACTGGTGCAAACCTTGGTTCCGGGGACATCCGTGTACTTCGACAGGAACGTCCCGCCTCCTGGAACAGCTGGAGGCTCGAGGGCTTCACGGGACTGGTACCATCAAGAAAAATCTGGTCCCGAAGGAGGCCAAACTGCCGACAGAGAGGGAACTCGCCAAACGAGGAAGAGGGACGTCTGTGTGCGCTGTCCGCAGTGACGACGCTGTAGCGTTCACGGCCTGGCAAGATCGCAAGATGATCCTGTTGGGATCAACCGAACACGGCATCGAGCCTTCAGACACCTGTAAAAGGTACCAGAAGACAAGTCGGTCGTACATTGACGTAACTCGTCCTGCAGTCGTCAAGGCCTACAACGCCAACATGGGAGGAGTGGATCTGAATGATCGGATGATCGCGCACTATAGGTCTGGCGCGAGAACTCGGAAGTGGACGGTAAAAACAATCCTTCACTTCTTCGACTTGTCAGCTGTCAATGCGTGGCTACTGTACCAGCAAGATGCCGAAGAAGCCGGCATCAAGGGTGCCGAGATGATGAAATTCCTCCAGTTCAAGTATGCCCTGGCGATGCAGCTCCTGAAGGGCATCAGCTCCGATGGCTCATCCCACAGCAGCTCAGGAAGCAGCGACGTAGAAGAGCCTGACGGACCGGATCCAAAGAAGCGCCGTCGAGCCACAGTGCCAATGCCGTCACCAGCTCGCCTGCGTTCAGGGAAGCACCTCCCCAAGTGCCACCCTCGGAAGGAGTTTCAGCGGTGCAGGAAGCCCGGGTGCCATCAGCAGACAGGGATGGAGTGCCGCAGGTGCAAGATCTTCCTCTGCTGCCGCCCGGATCGTGACTGCTTCCATCAGTTCCACGAGGGAGGTTCGAATGTGTAAACACCGTGGACAATCAGCGCGCACCCTTCAGCTCCGTTTCTGGGGAGCTTCAGGGCGCACCCTTCAGCTCCCTCTCTGGTGAGCGTCAGCGCGCAGCTCCGTTTCTGCTGCGCGTCAGCGCGCACCCTTCAGCTCCGTTTCTGCTGAGCGTCAGCGCGCACCCTTCAGTTCCGTTTCTGGTGAGTGTCAGCGCGCACACCTCAGCTCCGTCTCTGGTGAGCGTCAGTGCGCCCTTCATCTGCTGTATCTGATAATCGTTCATGTTGATAAATACAGTCACTCTGTTTTTATGATGATTTTGAGGGAGGTTTGTCGAACCAATGCAATGTCATTTTTCACGTATTACACCATTTTTTGTAGTTCCCGAATCCGAAAGTGTACCATAGTGTACAGGTCACCGCGCATGCGCATAATTAGGAGTCTCTACTGAGAGTGTATTTTATCCATACTTACCTTATTTTAAGGCAGGGAATGAATTTTTGTGGTGATTCTATTGATACCTTGCTCTCGGGTGCCAAGAGGATAGAGTTGCGCAGCAGCATATTTAGGCTGCGAGGCATCGTCCAAATGCAATGTATGTTGTCAACAGCAGTGCAAAGAGCTGTGATATTGCTCCGAGCTTGCAGCTTGATAAATAAACAAAGCTATATGGTATGCTAAGGAGTGAGCTCTATTCTGTAAACGGAATGTTTCGAGTGAGTTACCCAGAAGCGTCGAGTCCTTTATTATTAGTTGTTTGGCTAATTTTTTAACAATCGACACAACACCGCAGCAGAGGCACCGATGCTGCACTGAAACTTCCCGCTCCGACAATATGGGCTAGCGCACCCCTATCATGTGAAAGAAGACCACGCATTCACTCCCTCCCACCGGCCGGCCGCCCGGTAGATGTCGTGGCGCGCGGTGCCGATAAGGCGCTTCCGCCCGCGCACGGCGGCGAATTCTCGCCCTTATTGACACCTGCCGGGCGCCGGGCGTGACATGGTCCTCTTCAAGCCGTTTGGGAAGCATGAAGCAGTCAATATTTTTCGCACCTATCCGTGCTTCTGTCCTCAGGAAACAGAAATCCTTCTCCTCCACGCCGCAACCCCCTTCCGGGCTGGACAGGCAACTTTATCTCATGCGGGCTGCTCCCTTGGAGCGGCACCGCTGCTCCTGAGGGAGCGCACCCCGTAGCCGGGTGCAGTGAGTGCCTTGGGGCTGGGTGGCCTGTCCTCTGGACGGGCTCAGCTCCGGCGACTCACTAGGGTGCCTGCCCAGACCAATGTCTCCCCCTAATTCCTATCATCCTTCCGGCTCTGCAATGGTCTTGTCGACCGAAAGGGCCTAACCCAACAAAACAAAACAAAAATATTTTTCGGAAAAAGGGCATCGTTGGACTCAGAAAAGAATACCTCACCACATGAGCCATGAGCCCGTATACTTTTCCAATATTCGGTTTTTTTGAACAACCCTACTGAGGCCCCCTTATGATGTCATCAAAAGTGGAGTGACATGGGCCTGGCCCCACCCTTTCCTCGCACCAAGCTAAAAAACGACTATGACCTTCCCCGGAAGGATGTACGTCCCGGGATCATAGCGAGCCTTGGCGTCTTCCATAAGTCCACGAATTGACTTGATTGATATCAAGAAACCTTGCTGAAACGGCAGCGGCGCCCTTTGCGTGCCGATCTGCATGGTCTGGATGAGCTGCTCGAACTCAGCCAGCACCTGAAGCTGCGGAAAATCAGCGTGCCCCAGGCCACGCTTCAGTCAGGCCAATGTCGTCCCCTATTTGCGTACTACCACTTCCTGGCGACTGTGACTTCTATTGATCACCGGCCAAATACCTGCGAATGTATTAGCAAGTTAAAAGTTACAATTGAGTGTGTCCAAGTGCACAGATGACGTCACACGAAGGGGCGGAGTCGGGGGCGGAGCCGCGTATTTACAAATTGCAACCGAGCTCCGCCGTGGGGTAAGGTGGGCAGGGGTTTTCGCACTACGGCTGCGGTTGAACTACCGTCTGTGGTAGAAACTTCAGGGTGATGGCGCGTTTCATACGAAATCTGGCGCAATGTTTGTTTGCTTCTGAAATTGCTGTGAATTCTTGAAGTGGGAGTGTTTCAATAACAATTTGTGGATTATTTGAGTTTCTTTATATAAACATAGAATAATATTATGAAACATTGTGTGGAAACTGCAAATACTAATATGATCAATTACTTAGTTTGGGAATTGATACACATTTTGTAGAGGTTTGTCTAGCAAATGGTGTAACAAACCTCAAGCTCATCATCATCTGAAGCTGTTGTAACAAATCAAAATTGCTTTGATGTTACATAGTACCTTGTTGGAAAGACTGGAGCATGGTTCAAGATGATGTGTAAAAATTCAAGATTTGTGCGAAAGCTTGTGACTGAAGAGTGAAAACAGTTCTATATGATGGCTCAATCAAACGTGGAAATGGATGACAAAAGTAGAGTTTCAACATTCCAGCATGGGAGAATAACTTCAGAAATTCATAGTTCTTGTAATATTGCATTCTTCTTATGTACAGTTATAGGTTTTGTTAAAGGATATTTCAAATTAATTGTGTCAGTTTGAGATATAGATGGATTGCGGACAAAATTTAGAATCATTGCATGGTAGATAGGTAGGTACTTGTTCAGTAAAAAGGTATGTAATGAATGCCATGAGAAGGTTTTTTTTATGATTTAATATATGGTCACTGCTGTACCTACAAAAATGCAAGCTTACTAGCACCTAGTCTCTGAATCATATTGAAAGTATTTGCTATGAATGTAAATATGTACCTGCAAACTATGTCAATAAATTTGTGTGATGTTGACCAGAGAGCTTTATCATCTGGACATTTATGTTGCTTCTTACATTAGGTGTTAAGCATAGTAATTACGGATGAACTTTGTGTCAATATCTTCAATGCACAATGTATGTAGCATGTCTACAACCCTCACTGATCCTGCTATAGCTATAGGCATTTGGCACCAGCAAGACCAAGGGCATTTCACAGGTGCACAACCTTTTGTCATGTACCCAGTACCACCAGTCACTTTTTTACTTAAGGTGCACATAGTAGTGCACACAACAATGTGCAGAGGGCCTACACAAAACAACATGATTAGTGTGCACTATGCACAGCATTGTACCCTGATTATTTGAATATTTTGATCACTCCAGTCAACAGCCAGGAGACAATTATTGAACATCACATTTATCATACATCACTAGTCAAACAAGAGCATGATGACAAACAATCATGGTAGTATTCCAATAAGTTGGACAGTCATCTCCCTGGGCGTCATTTTTCCAGGAAGGTACCTCTGCAGGTGTTGTGACTTGTGGTAGGACTAGGCTAGGTTGAATTGGGTTAAGTTAGGCGAAGTAAGGTGGTTAGGGCCAGGTCAGACCATAAGGCCTGGTCAGGTTGATTTTATGCTTTCATTTTAATTTGACATAGAAACCTATTACCTATGTTTTTGCTCCAGCCTGAATGTAATTAGGTTAAGAGTTAATTTTGCTTTGTTTTTTATCTGTCTTGTTTTGTGTTTTTTTCCCTTATGTTTTGCCCCATAGGCAAGGGTGGAGCTTTTCCAGGGAAGGTGGTGGAGCAAAAGCCGTCAAACCTGCGATGCCCGGTTGTTAAGTTAGATAATGTGCAACACTGAATCAATTTTTTTTAATTACAGAACGAACATTATGAATTACACAGACATTTCAAAGCTCCTCAATGCGAACAAGATTGGTTTGCTAAGCAATGAAGTTCTACAAATCAGCAAAATTTGGAGGGGCAGAACGTTAATTTTTTCTCTGACAGCTTCGTAACATGTTACGAAGGCACCAAAACTACTTCAGTACAGGGTGTAACGAAATTATCCGGACATCCATTTTTTCGCCATATCTGTCTGCACAGTTTCCTAATCCTTTCTGATGTTAGAAGTGGGAATACCTATTGGATGAATACGTGCCTCTGCTATCGGCTTTCAACTCAGCAGTGACCTGACCTTGTCATGTGACTCTTGCTCTGAGTAGGGGTCGATTCACAGACGGGTTCACATGGTAGTTTTCGTCTAAGGCAGTTGCGAGAAGGGGATACAATCTCTCCTTTCGTGGTAAAATTGCATGGCGGCATCCACGGCGTCATGAGCCAGAAGCTGGTCTGCCAGCAGCTGGACATCAGCAGCAGCCAATTGCACATCTGCCTGAGGCGTAATAAGCTGGGACTTCGGTGGCAGACTCAGCCCGGTCGCGACCACAAAAACCGCCCTTTTTCAAGTGGTGAGGAGAGTCATCAAGATAGCGGCAAGGAAACGGCACCAATCAATCCGCAAATTGACTCGAATTCTTACCAAGTCAGATAATACGAGTAAGAGGTCCCATATCATGGTTCACTGCTACCCGCCCTTTAACTTGGTTCTAGTGCCCTTCAAACTGGAAAAGACAACGAAACTTACACTGACGGGAAAACAACCAGTTCACCACCTTTCGCCTCACTTCAGATCGCGTCCACTGGTCGAAGAAAGATAACGGTGAGGGTCTGGTTGGATGGGTAGCCGTTTGAGCTGTATTATCCATTGAACCGTCAAATCGGCCATGTATGGGCGGCCAGCCGCTCGAACTTGCTGGCCTTCGCCGCCGTCAAACATCCGGGTAATATCCAGATTGAAGCATCTCAGCTGCCTAGCAATGCTCCAATTGGATATAGTGTCACATAATACCGCCATCAACGTCAAGTATTACCGGAGCAACATACTGGCCAATGAATGATTGGGGGCGCTCAACCAGACGGCATAGGAGGGCACGGTTTTTGAACGCGCACTGATGCCTGATTCAAGCCACGCTGTCTTCATGCGGGGCGGCGGCGGGCGCGCTACTTTAAAGTCCCTAAAAGAACGGGAAGTGATGCCGATAGAACCTTCAATCATTCTGGGCTAACGCTTATGACTTGGAAAAAGTCGCGATCCCGTTTCAAACGAAAACCTGTGGGCTCTTGTTCAGCAGGAGGTGTATGAAGAGCCACCCGCCATAAGCACCGCTCAACCGCAGGCACAGGTTTAGACGGCGTTTGTCCGCATCAAAGCCAGTGTGCTGGAGAATCCATTGGCTGAAATGCTCCAGAACATTCGCCACTGTGTTTTTATGAAAGTT